TGACAGGTAGGTTAACCCAAAACCGCGGCCAACTAAAAAATTTAAATGTGCACAAGTATGTAACTCAAATAGGGCCTAACACTTTTTATTATTCGTGCAGCGAAATCAAATAATACATATGTTGTTTTAAACGACCCATTGTATTTAAAAAAAATTCCGTGACAGCTAGTATTTCTAAACTTGCCATAATCTCTTCCTTTAGTATATATTATGCGAAAAACGAACCATCCTGGATTAATCCTCCATATCTTATAACTGACTAAAATAGGATTGTTATAATTTCTTATAGGTATATTTTAAATTACTGATTTTTGTCCTTTTTCTCATTGTTTTTCCGTTTCTCCTTGTGTGTGCCTCACCTGGGCCATGATCTAGGATTGTATTTTACATTTCCTTATTGTTGTTTGCAATAAAGTGATATTAGATAATGAATTGCAATGTGTTTTTTTTTTTTCAAAATCAGACAGCGAGCAGCAATATCCTGTATCTCATAAGTTTTGTAGACGTTTATCTTTGGTTGATGACCTTTTGACCTCCAGAATTGCGATTTTCGAGTCGAGTCAGTCGAGACAACCCGAGTGGAGATTCATGCAAATGTTTCGTACGGAAACAAAATCGCGCGGGGGGAGTACTGGGTAATAAAACACATACAAGTATTAGTTGGCGTCCTACACTAGCTGCGTATGGGCGTTTCGTTTTTTTACGCTCTCAATGAGCGTTGTTGGCTCTCTTGTTCTATTTATACTCTTTGGATGTACTCATAAACTTGAGCATACACAACTCTCTTTACAATTTTCAATAAAGCGCTAATCATACACAGGCCTGTTAGTTATCGCACTCACAGGAACAACCTTAGCTAACTTTAAGTAACGTGGTACTTTTCCACAGCTCAATGCAATAGATAAGTATAGACTAGTATGGGTTTTGCTATTACTTCTGAGCAGCTGCATAATTAAATAGGCTTATTTTGCTAGTGTTCGTATGCACTTATTGCATCATATATCGGATCCGAATAAACGACGTTGAAGTGAAATCTAGAGTGATGCTCATTTTCCCCATTCGGGGCGTTTCTGGCTGCAGAACCATCGTCATTGCGGATAGCTCTGCTACTGTATTCCGCAGAATTTAACTGAAATGCTTCGTTCTGATGCATCTGATACTGGTGACGACCTTGCCTTTTCTAAATGAGTAGAATTAAACATTATTGTTTATATGGAAGTTACGAATTTGCTCTGCGGTCCCTTTTTTCAGTCTAGGCTCCAAATAGTAGGAAGCAAGAGTAAATTTAAACATACCCAAGGATAACTCAATAAGTCCGAAAACATTAACTTCAGTGAGTTACATCGAAATAGAATTCTCTTCTCTTTCCCAAGCAATTTACGTTTTAGTTTAACGTAAACATGAGCCATATTACACATGGTTAAATAACCTTAATACAAAAAAACTTCAATAATATTATAATAATTCCATACTTTAATAATTATGAGTTGTAATATGTCAATACTTACACGGATGCTGTGGCATATTAGACAAGTTGGAAAAGAACCAAGAATGAATGCTGTACAGGGGCGGATTTAGGGGGGGGGAGGCGCCTGCGACGCGCGCCCCCCCCCCCACCTATATCACAAAAAAAACCAAAAAAAAAAACCGCTCCGGGCTAGCCTATTTATACTCATGTTGCTCGGTTGTCTAGTGGAATATTAGCAAGAAAAAACATTTTCTTTAAAAGAGAACTAGCAAAATGATTTTTTGTTCTAGAGGAGATTTTTGATATGCCATTAATAATAGAATCAACCTTAAAATCGCTTTTTGGCAATTTCTTATGGAGTTATAGGCCACTATATACGATTTGACCGTGACGTCACTGGCGAAAAAGTAATAAAAAAAATCGTGTAAATAGCGCTGCGTAGGGTACTTGCTGCGTACGATCTTTACGTGCATGCTGTAACCATGGTTGTTGTAACTTGCATAGGCCTATACCTGCATCAGCGGTTGTCAACAGAAGAGTTACAGCTATGGTTACAGCATGCACGCAAAGATTGTACGCGGCGGATACCCTACGCGGTTTTATTTACACAATCTTTTGTTACTTTTTTCGCCAGTGACGTCACGATTAAATCGTATATAATGACCTATAACTCCATAAGAAATTGCCAAAAAGCGATTTTAAGGTTGATTATATTATAAATGGCATATCAAAATTCCCCTCTAGAACAAAAAATCATTTTGCTAGTTCTCTTTTAAGTTAAAAAAAATAACACGGAATTTTTGAGACGATCCCTGCACAGAAGGTATCACAGCCCAAAGTACACTGTAGCTAGTTTTCAGCTCTCCACATGCAGTGAGTGTTGAATTATTAAGATGATCCCCTAGACATTCACCAATATTACAGGATGGCATGTAACGTTATCTCTCTCAACAGATGATAGTTTTCAATCTGGTAGAACATTTTAATTCAATATACTTTAATTCAATAGAACTTTTATATTTAATAATTAAACACTGGTGATCTTCAATGCTGTAGGTAGGCTAGCCTAGGCCCTAGGCGGGCGCTAGGTTCTCTTCTACTAGCCTAAATAAAGCACGATTTATTGCATTTGGGATGAGTTACTTGAGACCTATACATTCAACAGCTGATTGGCTTAATTGATTTCTGGGCCCTTTGTTAAATATTAGAATGGGGATTAGATGTATTTTTTTTTTGCAAAAAACTTTCACCCACAGTGTTTAACGGGCCGGCGGAACCGGGGGGGACCCCCACTTTTGGCAAAGAATATATAATGTCTGGAGATTTTTGTATGATTGGAAAGAAATGCAAGAAATGAAAGAGGGAGGAGGCGAAGGATGGGAAGAGAATGTTTATCCAGTCCCCAACAGAGTTAAATTTTCTCGCGATTCATATTGGCGGATCTGGGGGAGGGGTTAATGGGTCCTGACCCCTCCCTTGGCCAACAAGAAAAAAATTTTAAAAAAAATGTTTCAGGACCCGTGAGCTGATTTTTTTTTTAATGTTACAATAAGAAAATTAGAATTTTGAAGAACGTCATTAAAACACACTTCCAGTGTCGGGAAAGCATATTTCCTGCCCTCAGGAATCAAAATTTTCCCAGGGGATAATCCCTGGACCACCCTTTCTTTTTGGGATTTATCGATTCATGGAAAAAAGAATAGGCGTGCAACTACTCATTTATTTATGTATGTATACACACATAAAATAAAAACTACCATATACTAGATAGTCAAAATTGACTTAATGCAAACTCGTATTCCTCAAATGTGCTGGGCTTCAAGGGGCTTATCCCCCTTGTACCCCCACCAGGGGCTCTGCCCCTGGACCTCGGCGGGGCCCTAGGCGGCCCCCCTGGCCCCCAGCGTAAGGCTGCTCCCTTCGCTCGCAGGCTGTGCCCCCCCCCACCCCACTGTTCTGGCAGGCTGGATCCGCCCCTGCTGTAACTGCGGTAACGACGAGGACCGTGTAAGTGGATATCTTGAACGAAAGACCTAGAAAAAAATACAGTGATGATGCTTCTTGTTCTAAATATTATAATAATCTAAATACAGTAATCCAATAAGCACCGCTATTGAATATAGCGCCGATGTGTTTATTAAATATGTTCTATCACTCAACGATTATGGTGGTACTAACATAATCCTTTAAAGACTGATATATTGAATTCAAAACTTGTCCTTCCTTTTGTGTGTGCGTCATTGTACTCCGCACTGGTAATTTCCATTGTCATCAGCAGATGCGAACGGGATTCAAATTCTATTATTAAAATCTTCATATATTTCATACCTTGAACTATCGTTGCTGAAGATGATGTTGTCTTTTAACCACGTGACTTGTATCGGTGTAGGTGGGTTAACATTGATGTTACTGCAAGTTAAGGTAAACGAGTTGCATTCAAATACAACACTTGGAGATACAGTGACCTCCGGGTTGTCTAGATCTAATGAAAAATCAAATCAAACTTCCATTTAGTTTGCGATATAGAACGGAGGTGTGAAAGCTGTTTTTTCCAGTGTAGGGTGATTATTATTATTATTATTATTATTATTATTATTATTATTATTATTATTATTATTATTATTACATTATTAAGAAGACACAACAATAATTGTTACTTAACCAATATCCTGAGGCGCGTGGAACGGAGAGAGTAGAGAAAACAGTAGAACTTATACATACTGTTTGTGGTGCTGAACTAATAATAATAATTCAAATAATAAAACATTAAATAGTTAAACCGTTATTAAATTTTTAATTATTGGTCATGTTGTAACTTCAGCCGTTGTCTTTCAAACCATTTAAATTATCGTAGCAAATTATTATTATTATTATTATTATATTTATTTATTTTTTTATTGTTTTAGTTATGTTTTTATTTTCTTTATCATTATCCTTATATTTGTGATACCATCGTCATTGTCAATAATAGCAATAATAATAATATTAATTATTATTAATATCATCATTATTTGTTTTGTTAATTTAAATCATCAGATTTTTTATTATTATTATTATTATTATTATTATTATTATTATTATTATTATTATTATTATCATTTACATGGTTAAACTACAGGCTCGGTATCGGTAATTAAATATATTCTTACACAATACATTTAGAAGCGATGGAGGGTCCAAAATGGCCGGGGGTTTATTATAAAAAATAACAAGACATTTGAACCTCCTTCCAGAATGATTTCGTCTTGGTGATTCGATGATCAGATTAGCTATTCCAGATTGTGTCATCAACTTGTAACGCCCGTTTTCGTTTCTTTGTAGAATCAATAATTGCTACGTCTACATTTTTTCCTGAGACATCAACTTCGTTCCACATTATAGTTTCCACAGTTCCTTCAACTGCTGAGTACTTACACGGCATAGTTACTTGACTGGAACCTTCTAATACATTTGCTATCAACACGCCCTTAATAAGAGCTTTCCTATCATCTCTTAATAAACAACAATGTATGTAGCTGTACATTTATTACATACAATAAGAATGCTTTCAAAAAAATAGTAAATAATAAAGAGTGATTGCAAATACATTTTAAAATACCATCGAAACCTAGCTGCACACAGCCCGCTGATTTTGATCAGCTGACAGACAAACAATGTACGCTGCCGAGTCTATAGAAATTGGTAGTCTTTTATAATTGGCTTAAATTTACCGCTTGTTGTTGTGCAATCGTTCGAGGTAGGATACTTTGGATTTTCAGTCGACTGAATAATCAATTCAATTTCATGACATTGTGGTTTGAAACGTTTTATGATGCTGTTGATTTCTGTTGCCTCCTGAAATGTCACCAAGATTGGTAAGGTAAGAGACAGCTTTTTAATGCCAGTTACCAGATTACCTGCTGTGGGAAGTTAAAGTCAGTCTTCGGAGGAAAAAAAATGTTGATATGTGTATTACAACTGAATTGTACGACAAACATTTTTTCTCCCGGAGCCTGGATTTAAGGCGGCAGTACCTGCATATTTTTAAATTTTGTTTTCAAAAATTATTAGCCTATGTTTTAACTGTGAATGTGCCTTTTTGGTGGTAATATTCGTAAACGCACTGCTATGTAGACTTTTGATAATTAATTCTATTTTTTTATTGATCTATGTTGTGTAATGCAATCTTTCACCGAATAATCAATCTAATTAGGGGCCATTAAAAAGAATTCAAACCGGCACCCGATATTCCTGCTGTATTATGTCTATAGTAAAGAAAAAACACGGTGCTGTAATTGTCAGTGATTCAACATCAGCTTACCAGCAAACATATCCGTGGTGTATGTTCACATTCTTAAACCCAATGCACAACCTGAACTATTATATTTTTCAGTGACAATTACAAAAATGATAATGTTTTAAATAATTTCATCTATTCTATTATAGGAAAGTGGATAACAATAAACACAAATGGCGAATCACAGGAAGTCAGTTGATGCAAAAAAGGTGAATTTTAGTTTGGTATGATTAGCTTATTCCTCTTCATATCCCACTTCAGAGTTGCCAATGTACGGTTTGCCACTTACACTAGCAGTAGATAATTAGGAGCCATAATACCTTTAAAACTTTGTCAATGTTTACGAATTATTCCATGGATCCCTGCTGGATCTCTGCTAAGTTAAAATTCCTGATTAATATGCGACAATATGCATTGTATCATCGAAAAATCAATGGCCTGGCGTTACTACAAACACCGGGTCCAGAAGTCTATCAACACAGCAAAACAGAACAGTATTATGTATCCATCAATGCCTATTTTGCGTTGACATCCCAAAGTAGACAATGTTATCTACCGTAGAACTTACAGCTGTCCTTCCTGCAAATTTGGTGCCCAGAATTGAGGAATGGGCGATGTACCATTAGCTCAAGAAGGTCAAAATTGGCAAATACCAGGGTCCTGATAACCAGCTGCCTAACCGTATTTTAGGAGACTTTGCTTGTGAATTTAGTACACTAATTACTGATATTTAACTCCTCTCTTAAAGAGGGTATTGTACCCCATGAATGGAAGACGCTAGTGTTGCTCCAATCCAATAGAGCCAATGGGAAATGTAAGCATCGATAAACTTAGATCAATGTCGTTAACGTCTATCTTAACTAATGTATCCGAAGGTTTTGTTGCAAAATGGCTTCTGAATGATATTGAAAGAAATCTTCATAAAAATCAGTATGGGGGCTTGAAAGGTCGCTCCACCATATTTTATTTGGTTAATGAAGGTAGTCACAAAACCAAATATGTGGGTAAAATTGTGTTCACAGATTTTCAGTAAGGCTTTTGATTGTGTAGACCATACTGTTGCTATTTCAAAATGAATATCACTAGGATGTAGGTCTGAAATCATCTGATGGATAATTTAGCTTTATTTCTTACTGAACGTAGATAGTGATCGCTACAATTAGGTGTTACTTTCTGATAGTGTAAATCAGACATATGGAGTAGGCCTACCCTAGTTACCAAAACCCTATTATCTGTCTTGCATTAATTGATGATGCCCTAACAATTCAACCTGTCCTTTGGAAATATGTGGATGATTTATGCATTGAAGAAGTTTGTCACAACAATAGCAACCCAACAATCCATAATAATCTAGGATTTAATTGAATTGTCAGAGACAACTGAATTTATATTAAATCCATCGAAATGCAAATCCATCAAATTCTGCTTTCTGACCCCTCTCCCGACTCCCCTATCAAGATCTAATTATGATAAATAGTACTGCTATAGAGGTTTTACGTGAAACTAAACTTATGGATGTCTGGAATCATGACGATCTCAAATTGGGCAGAAATGTAAAAGAATTAATAGTTAAAGATAGCAGACGTCTCTCTATGTTGTGATAGGCTAAGAAAATTTGGCGTGCCCATGGAAGACATAGTATCAATATATTGTTGTTACGTAAGATCTTCACGTGAATATGCCATCCCTGTAATGGTATTCAGGTTTAGCTGTTGATCGATCTAGGGCCATTATAAAATAATTAGAATGATTATATCACTTGTAATCGGTTATAATGCTTGATATTGAAAAGTTATGTGACACAAGAATTAACATTTGTATTAACAGTTTAAACTTATTTGCTCATTGGTTTGTAGAAAACCAATCCAATCACAGTATGCATAAAAAAGATACTACCAACATAATAAATAAAATAATTAACTAAACTGTCTTCAATAAAAATTTAACTTAAAATGTTTATACCTGAAGTAAACTTGTTGATATACATACCTATTGCATTAACCCACCTTTTTACAATGTATGTATTTATTTGATTTTATTTGTTTATTTATTTTTATTTTATATTTATATAAAATAAACCTACATAACCTACATATGATAATGTGACCGTTTCTTAATAATTTTACTGTATCTGTATTTAACTCGGATTGTGATTCTAAATTAACTTAAATGTGACAATAATTTCGATTAAATTTATCTTATCAATTCTACTTTTGTCCCAATTTTAAATTAATTCAAATTGATTGTGTTCATAATTTTTGGTGCTGTAATTTGTAATTTTGATTTCTATAAATGATTAAATTGTAATTTTTGATTATTCGGACAATTTGTACAACTTGGTGAACCTTTAATACATGCCAAGCTCTTTGTTATATAGAACTGTTAAATTAATTAAATACTACTAGTACTCAGTTTAAATTGATTATTATTTTCAGAAATGGTCCTGCGGCCAAATTGCCTTCGTCGTTTTCTGTTTAATATCGGTTGTATCCAACGGTACAGTTTGGTTTTTATATTTATTTTCACATGGAAGCAAAACAGGCCCCAGAAAAGAAACGCGCAGGTAAGACACTAGTCACACAACTCGGGAACAATTGACGTAAAACATGTTCCCATGGATGAGCGCTTAACAATACATATACTTGAAGCTGGTAATATAAAGTCATTCTATCGTGTAATTTGCCAACAAAATACAATACCATATACAAAAATATAGAGAAACCATAGTCAGCCACGATGGACTGACCGTGTGCTTTGTATACGTATAAAAGGTAACTTATTAGTGTAATTCCTAAAAAATAAATGTATGTGTATATATATATGATAATTTGTATGTATATATATAGCAAATGAAAGAGCTTCAATAGTAGACTTTAAGAACACTGATTTATTAGTAACTCGGATATTTCTGCCACTCCTGTGGCCTTCATCAGCGAGAAAATGGAAAACAACATGAATCATTATTATATAGGCTATCTTATCAAAAATAAAGGTGACAGTGAGCAAATAGGTGATACAGTACTTATAAAACTGTAAAATGATTGGCCTATTTATCTATGCATACTAAATATCTACAATAATCAAGAACCAAGGGTGTTAATTGCAGAGACCTGTCAAATAAATTATCTATTGTATTGGCCAGCACAATAAAGATAAGATAGTTATTTCATACGAACAGTCTGTAACTGAACCTTATAGAATCTTATATGAATTATATAGGTATCTTATAGGAATCCTACGGGTTTCTTATATGAAATCTATAGGAATCTTATAGATATCTTATTGGAATCTTATAGGAGTCTTATATGAATGATATAGGAAGGTTATAGATACCTTATAGAAATCTTATAGGAGTCTTATATGAATTATATAGGACCTGTTGATATTTTTAGGAATCTTATAGATATTTTATAAGACTTTTACAGATTTCTTTCTGGGATCATATAGGCGTCTTATAAGAATCCTATAGAACTCTTTTAGTAATTCTTATGGTTTCCATAGGATTCGTATGGGTGTCTTATAAGAATTATATAGGAATCCTATAAGTATTATCTTTATTATCCTATAGATTTCCTAAAGGAATCGTATAGGTGTCTTGCAGGAATCCTCTGTGAACGCTTTAGTTGTTATTCTTATAAGAAAGCTATAGATAATGATTTAAAACATATTCATATAATTTTTTTATTTTTGTAAATACAATATATACTGTTTGTTAATGTTTATGCAAGCAATGGTTGCTTAGTAAATTGTTATTGATGGGTTAGCTGATTGTTGACATCCATTGGTTCCACTGCCACGATATTGTTTGCATGCACAAGCAGTATTGAATGATTGATGCATTTGATTTCGAGCATTATTATTATTATTCAAGCCATTTGGCTTAAACAACTCCTGCAGACATACAAAATACACTGAGTTCAAGATATACAAACCATGATTTCTTTAATTAAAAACATCAACTATGCATCATGGGGTAGGGATATTAATCCCTAGGGTCTCGATGACTTGCATACCCCTTCACATAATATTGTTCGTCTTAAGCCTTACTGATGCACATACTTCAAATTCCAGCGGTACCTAAATGCTTTACAGTCTTCAAATCAGTTTTCAGTAATTTATATTTATTAGAGCCTCAACTACTGTTTACTATACAAAACCCTGTTCAAAAATCTGTCGCGTTACAGTTGTGTATAAACCAGCAATTTTCTGTATGAGCTGTCTATAGGGATATTAATCCCTAGGGTCTCGATGACTTGCATACCCCTTCACATAATATTGTTCTTCTTAAGCCTTACTGATGCACATACTTCAAATTCCAGCGGTACCTAAATGCTTTACAGTCTTCAAATCAGTTTTTTTTCAGTAATTTATATTAGAGCCTCAACTACTGTTTACTATACAAAACCCTGTTCAAAAATCTGTCGCGTTACAGTTGTGTATAAACCAGCAATTTTCTGTATGAGCTGTCTATATCCGTGCTTTTTCTTGTCCAATGGTAGCAAAGCAAATTGGAAATCTTGCTGAAAGATGCCATTGTGAATTCTGCAGCTCGAGTGACCAAACTAGGTTTGAAATATTGAATCGTGATGGCTTCAGATTTTCACCCTTGCTTCACATGCTGAAAGATATAACAAAACAATTCTTTAAATAAGAGCAAAGCGATACATGCAGTTGTCCTGTGCATTTTGAAACCCTTTTTTGAAAAAAAAAGTGAGTCATGAAAAATCATAAAAATACATACACTTGGTCAAAATAAAAATTGAGGGGCAGGGCAAAATAAACAAGAACTGTCAGTTGGAATATGAATAATGAATAATTAAGCAGATTTTGCCGTTTATTGAAAATGTATCTTAAAATTTTCTACCCACATTTTAAATGTTGTATTTTCCTTCGACATGAATATATTGATATTTTGTTTTGCAAACCCACTGTTTGACGAAGATGAAGATTTAAAATAAAAATAAAATTTTATTTTTGACCAGTTAGCTCACCCGCTGCCGTGAATTGGAAATTGAGAAAAAAAAAATGTTTATTCTGTTCTGCAACATTACCGAAAGAAATCTTAATTTGTTCACATAAATAGAAGCATTTAACAGATCAAGGAAAATTGTTGTAAATATGATAATAATAACAGTAGCATAGGCCTAGCCATAAAGGCCTAGGCCTACCCCTAAAAATTATTTAAAGAATCATATCATGGATTTTACAATAATAAATAAGTGAGAACACGGCCCAATTTACCACCCTCCCATACTTAAATTATAGGGCAGACTGAGCTTAGCCCTCCTTAGAATATCCTCAGTTCTGTCTTTTCTTAATTATAGGCCTAGGTCATAGCATGCTTGTTATCACCTAGCTAGGCTCCTATGCCTAGAGATCCAATCTAATCCAAACTAATCTAATTTTTGACTTAAAAGGCGCATTATACCAAGTCTAATGCGCCAATTTAAACAACATTAAATGAATAATATTAGAAAAACAATTCTTAGCTATTAGTACTGCTGAAATACTTCAGAAATTATGGTTAAACTGCCTGTTTCATCATCATGAATGTGCACTGAAAAAGAGCTCTAAAACCACTAACAAATTTCAGTTAACTGATAACACAAAAGCACCTTGTTAATTTCCATTGCCTTCAGTTATAAACATGGATAAAGTGACCAATCAAATTAAGTAATTTGAGATTATCTGTTGTTGGCTGAACAGATTAAATGACAACACCTGTTATTGTTAGCTTGTTAAACTTGTGTTTTAAGGTTGTATGTTTTATTATACACTATGATTTAGTATAGGCCTAGATTTTGGCTATGTAATGTTAATTATACTGCCAGGACTTTCATAATATAATTTTTTTTTAATTATTTCAGCAGAATAGGGAAGCAGGGAAAATCTTCCAAAAATATGACAATTTTTTAGGTTTCAAAGGCTTAGAAAGTACACTTACAGAAAAAATCTATAGAACTATATAGACCTTCTATAGAGATTAATCAATTTCTATAGAAATTATATTCTATAAAATTGTTTTATAGAGAACTAGTTTCTATAGAATTCTATAACATTCTATATACACATATTTAATGTAATTTCTATGATCTTAACTTTTTTTTTGTTTCATTCAATTCAATTTCATTTATTGACACATTCGTGTCTGACCAGTATAGTCCTATCAACATGTTTACATCTTGCATATTCAGAAATTCTATAGAATATTCTATACAAACGATATGACAAGTTCTCTATAATAAAACTAACTA